ACCTGCTCTTCGAGCCGAAGCCCTGGCGAACCGTTAGTCCTTCCGCGGCTCCGTATTGGGCATCAGCCCAGGTGGCTTACTCTTGAATCCAATTCCGATCAATCGACATTGTTATTGTGAATTTTGGTACTCCTGAGTTGCAAAATTAGCGCCCATTGCATTCGTATTGCGTGAATATTTAATGAACTAAATAGTATTGAGTTCGACTTTATATTACGCACTCTGAATGCTATTTTAACAGCTACGTAAGGGGCTGTATAGTTTTGACATTGAATCATTATTGAAATTTTATTGGATTGGCATTGCATTGACATTGAGAATGGTTTCGAGAGTAAGCACCCTTATGTGTGCGTATACTTGCAACAGCGCAATATATGAAGTGTAATGATGGGACAATTGAGGCGACAGATGTCCTTCGTGTCAATGTGTGTGTATTCTGCGTGTGAGTCTATAGTAGCCATGTGCCACAGTCGTTGCTTCAAGAGACTATGTCCGTCTTAGCTAGCACAGGTCAAAATTAAGTAATTTATCACGGCATAGTGTGCTTTACATGGACTTCATTCTACTCTAGACAAGTTCCAGACCATCCAGAAGCTATCGGAACCAGAAGTTCTCGGACCCATAATATTTTTTAGCTTTTGACTAAGTGTAACGACTAATACGACTATTATAGATACTCGTTTAACATCAGGACCGAATGGTTTTATGTGTTCTGTCGAATACTGAGAAGTATCAACATGGTAGGAATAGTACCCATACAGATTTAACTTCGTCTATTTTACGTATGATTAGAAGGTTCGAATCAAGACAGGTAGGTACTTATAATTGCTTTAAGTACACAAACCTGAATGAATAGAAGTTCAACAATGTTGTTATGTTTGGAAAATACTAAACCTAGGAGAACACAAAATTCTTAATTTTGTGTTTATCTTTAAAAAGTCCTCGAAATCGAGGACAAACAAAAACAAATATGTTTTTGTATGGTATTAGCTCCTTAACTATAACACATTCCGGCAAATCGTCATAACAGCACTAAAATATGATTATAAAAAAGCAATAAACGGGTAACGAAAACTAAAATTAAGTGCATTAGTTTATTAGTCAGTCGAGTACAGGCGAGAACAAAAGTGTTACATCAAGTTTGATGTAGCTATCCAAAACTATGTAAGTAACAGTTGTTGTATTTTTTTTAGTAAAAAATAATCTTTGATTCGTATTAAATCTATCAAAATTATTATAATGTTTTTCATAAATATTGTAAAAAAGATAGAAAGAAAAAACATTTATTCAGCACCAGGCATGATGCAGCATAAATAAAATATAAAAAAGACAATAAATATAATATTGCCCTATACTATGATTTTCTTCCGTACATTATATTCCAGCCCAGCTAAGTTTCAAATGAAAAATTTATAGTAATAATACTAATAACGTAAATGCTGTCAACAACAGAAAATAATATCCGGTCCGAGATAAAACATAAAACAAAATTGCTTTACACAGCATTTTCTCCATTTTACCAGATCCATGGGAAAAATTGTCATTAAACGCACTGTTGCATTTGTTTCTTGATTTTTAATTTGCAATTCAAATTAATACGTTATGCGAGCACTTCTTTTTATGCTAATTATTCTACTAATTGCATTTTAAATGGTTTCTTTTGTTTATAATCTGGTAATAGATCTGGAAGTTGTAAATAGCACTCGGCTAGCTACTTAGTTTATCGTAGAACAGAAAACAATAGCGGGTAATGTAATGTTGTATTATCAGTTCTGATCACAATCTTAGCGCGTCGTTCTAAGTGGAGTAGCATTTAGTTGCTAGAATCTAGATGTTTCAGTTATTGTTTGATACTGGTATACACAAAATATGCTAAAAAGCGGCCAAGAAGACAAATCACTTAAAAAATTAGCATAACATCACGCCTTTTTAACCCCGAAGGTTTAGGCAGAGTTGCACATTAAAGTTTTCACTATTTATGTTATGAGTCCCATGTAATAGGGGTTGAGCCTATTGAAATGAATTTAGCAATCTATATGCAAACAGAGGTACAATTAATTGATTAAAATATATAATTTACTTCATTACGAGAATCTTAAATTTTCAGGTAGGTACAGGGACTCACTTCATAACCATGATTATATGTATGCTTTCTAAACACAAAACATTAGTCAAAAATCAACAAGCATAAATTATAAATCAAAACAGTTGTAATAGGAAATTTAAAAAAGCAAAATAAAGCTTAATATTTTCGTAACACTTGTGTTCCCGCCAATACATCTGTCATCGCGACAGATAAGTGCGCGCGAACGATCGCCGAGCGCACAGATACATTAGCGAAACGTAATATAACATAGATGCGTTCATATTAACTGAGCTATTGTCGAAGTGATGGCGTGAATGGATTACTTGACAGCTCTGTGTTACCAGCGTGAATTTTTGTTAGTAGAGAAAAGAGGTATTATTTATTTAGTTTCAATGCAGTGCTAAAATAAAGATTATTAGTTACACATTACTAGATTCAGCGTAAAAAAAAATAGAGACCAATAATGCATGACTATAAATGTGAATATAATTAATGATTTAAGTAAAGCTCATAAGTGTACCTTATTTAAAAGTTAACTGTGAAATTATATGTAAACTTTTAAACGCACACACGACTCAAGAAAAATTGTAGTATCTCGCAAAGTTGCGGAGAACCTAACGGGTAACCAGGGCTCCGACTCAACGTGCAGGAGAAGGAACGGGGTGGTTTTTAGTCAGTAAGAGTCTGACACTCTCTCCCGCCTCACCCTAGGCAGGAGCAGTCATTCGATGATTTTTTACGTAATTTTATTTCTCGATAGCTTCTTTGTTTTTGTTGTTATTTACTTATCTAAATCAAAAACCTATCAAAAATGCCTCCTAATATTGGTTTATTGTCAATTAATAATAACACTACATTTAATAAAATCTATTCAAAATCAGACACTGGCAACACAACATAATTCGAAAATATGGCGCGAACAGATCGCCCGATGACAGCTTTATAGTCCACCATTTTGGAGTCCATTTAGTAAATGCAGATAAATATTTATCGGCCAATAACACGCGTTATACTGATGAGTTGCGTTTATTTTCGTTGCTGAGAGCTCTCTGAGAATCGGATGTTTGTTCATAAATACATTTTTGTAAGATGTTAATCTTAACGGTTGAACAATGATCATTACTGAGACCGGATGATACGTTCTCATTCTTCGGATTTTAAATTGTTGACAGTTGAATTCCAAAATTTCCTTCTTCAAATCGATTTTTCGTGTTTTCTCAGCAGTCAGCAGGAGGTTTAACATCACATTTTTATCCCCGAAGGAGTAGGCAAAGGTGCACATTACGGCACTTAATGCCATTGTACTTACAATCAAATATAACACCCACTATTCCCTATTTATGTTTTGAGTCCCATGTAATAGGGAGGGAGCCTATTGCCATATACCGGACGCAATTCCACACCCCGTCCTACCACTGATTTTACCAACGACCCGGGAATCGAACCCGAGACCCCTCACCCAGCAGTCGCACTTGCAACCACTCGGCCAACGAGGCAGTGAACTAAAAAACAATAATGATTACCTATTTTCTTTTATCATTTTATTTAAGAGGAAATTAATAACACTTTCGTTTTAATAACGTACCTACTGTGAGAAACCATAAGTAACCGAGTAGACAAAAATGGGAGCATTTAACTTTTTATAAATATTTATTTAAAAATAAGGTGGTAAGCGATGATGCGGTGGAGCACTTTATAGGTTGGTAGGTAGGTACCTATATATTATCTACTGACTAACTTCCCTACGTAAGCTTCGTTTATTTTATTATATCAACATCATCATCATAATATCAATATCAGCCATAAACGATCCACTAATGAAAGTTATACCTTTCGACCCCTATTTTTGAAAATATTTTTTAGCATTTAGAAAAATATTTATGTAGGTGGGTATTTGTAGTCCCCAGCACGGCTTTTGATAGATAACTACATATTCCAACGAATCGAAACCTCACCATATTTTAGAAATAATTCGAAATAACATACAAACTAAACTCTTAAGTATCCACATAAAGGTAACCTTTTATATTTATCATCAAATTATTATAACTATGGCGTAGGCCCACAGAAATATTAAAAACTATTTCTATTTGCAGGTCGCTGCTGTTGGCCTACCGTTGGAGAAGGCCTATGATCAGCACTGGACGTTTTCTTTTTATAATATCTATTTGATGGGCCGATGTCATGTTGATACACTAACACTAAATTCGTTTATCTTCTTACTTCTTCGAGACGTAAAAAAACCAAAACGAAACGAAAATGTTTGTAAAAGAAATATAACATATTTTAGGATTAGTACTGCCATCTATTGGTAATGAGTACTACCATCAGAATCTATTCTAACCATCACTGTAGCGCCATCTAGTATGTTAATGTCGTAAAAATACTTAACCAAACTGAAAATACTGATAGATGGTGCTAGCGTAGTTTATGTAGCCGTGCTGATAAAGTCTTTATTCTGCACGCCACAGATATTTTTAAATCTGGTAGCACTGGTTCATTACGTTTCACGTAATTTTATATTATGATTTGATAATAGATTTTTTCCAATCACAGAAATCGTATTAAATTGTGACCAAAGTATTTTGATAAATTAAAATAAGCGTATGTGTTTAATAAATATTTCTTTGATTTTATTTAGCTAGTCAAAAGTATAAAATAATTTGGAAAAGATTTTATACAACGTGGAACGGATTGCAATTTGCCGGTGCTGCCAACCTTGAGAAGTAGGAAATCAGAAATAACTTGTCTCAAATCCACCATTTTCCCTTTGTAACTAACCGGTGTTCAAAACACGTGCGTACGATCAAGTTACATGGAAAACTTGTGTGATCTCCGTGCATATTGAATAAATACTTACGCTAAAAAGTGCGCCGTGTTTCGATAAAAGCGCGTCGTGTATTAAAACTACATAATGAACACCGAAAAGCTAAAGAAGTTGCAGTCGCAGGTGCGCATCGGCGGTAAGGGCACTCCGAGACGCAAGAAAAAGGTTGTTCATGTTACCGCGGCGACAGATGACAAGAAATTGCAGTCATCGCTCAAAAAATTGTCAGTAAACACTATCCCTGGCATCGAGGAGGTGAATATGATAAAAGATGACGGAACAGTGATACACTTCAACAACCCGAAAGCGCAGGCATCCCTCGCGGCCAACACTTTCGCTATTACTGGTCATGGAGAGAACAAGCAGATCGCCGAGATGCTCCCCGGCATCCTCAGTCAGCTCGGCCCCGAAGGCCTGAACCAGCTGAAGAGGTTGGCGTCGAGCGTCGCCGCGCCTAAACCACTCGACGAGGACGATGAGGTCCCTAACCTAGTCGGCAACTTCGACGACGCATCGAAGCAGGAGGCCAAGGAAGTCATCACGAACGAGAAAGAGAAGGAAAAAGAAAAGGAAAAGAAACCCGAATCAGAAACCAAAGCTGCAGATAAAAAAACCGATTAAAACTCAATCGGCCACAACGGTGTAGTTTTTAATTTTACTCACCCAGAGAAAAGGGTTTCCAAAGCCACAGAGGCGTCTCAAATAGTTCTCATTTTATTTTACATTGTGTTCCTAAATAAATGTACTTTGAATTTATCTTTTTCTACATTTATTTGTATGTGTAAATTGTGAATGTGTTTTGTTGGTACAGGGACACTTTTTTTTTAATTTTTTACTTCATAATGTGACTTTGGAAACCTCAACCATCCTGAATTAAAACTGCTTAACTCTTATGCCATGCACTAATTCATTATTTTTAGTTTATATGTAACATACAGCATAATGGGATATGATACATGTCGATTCTCTTTTATAATAGGACCTAGTTAAGTGTTGTAATGACCCTATTGTTGAGACTTTGGCGATATAGGTAACTTCATTATATTGAGAAAATATAAATATACATTATTTTTGACAGTGCACCATGAAATCATAGAGTATATGATTATATGTATAGTGAAAAGGTGTTGTACGCCTTAGAATATTTTTAAAATATTTTCTAAAGTTGTTGATTCATGTCCGGAGTTAAGATTTGCTTTCTTGAAAAATAGTTATAAACAAAATATTAGTCACAGGTAGCTCTATAGGTTATTGAGCTAACATTGTATAAATAAAATTAATAAAAATTGCAAAAATTGTAAATGATTAGAGTTTTGGTATGTGGAAATAACATTAAAACTTTGATCGAAGTAAATGGACTTTTATTTTGGACTCTACAGATTATAAATTACTGAAACATGAACATAATAGAATACACTACTCGAATATTCTCTAAAAGTTGATAAAACCTTTTTGTTTTTAAAAAGTATGAATTCACACACATGAACTTAGGGAGGTTAGGTGAGCAATGTGAGACCCACACCTGCTGCTCATATATGTACACATGTGACTTGAATTTCAATTGTTAATCACCTTGAATACAAATAATTAAAATTACTTTGGTAAATAACAATACATTGGCCTCAAAAAGTTAAAATCATGTGGCTGATCATGCACTAATTGATTCAAGCCATTGTAGTCTTTATGCCAATGTCATAAATGGCATTTTTCAGTGATAATAGATCCATTATTGGATTGAGTGGAAATTAATTTTTAAGTGATTAATGCAGGCATTTAATTACAGGTCTTGATTACTATACCTATTAAAAATTAATAGTAATTCAGGTATGTATGTACTATAGGTACTAAGTTCAGTAAGTAGATGAAAATTAAATTTCAAGGATCAGCTCAATCAACCTAGTCAATCCTAACGTCATGCTTATTTCCTTGTTTCGGTTCAAATATCTTTGTATGGATTGCAAATGAACATGAACAATTATTAATATCACCGAAACAATATTCATGAATTTATCACGTGGGAAAGGATACTGTGGTTACCGGTTAGCAAGCAAAAAAATGGTACAAGCCAGTACAAGGTACAAGTTAGTCACTACCTATGATTAGATTGTGATTAAGACTGAGTTACTTTTATAGTATTTTTATCAACATTGTTTGTTGATAAAGAAAGTGCTTGTTAACAAAATTAATCCTAAACGAGGCATACTTAGGTGTAACGAAACGTAGTATCATCACAGATTTTTATCATTTTTAGGATCTTAATTGCCATCACAAACAGTTTATAAGGGAAGTACAGATTGTCAATAATTAAGCCATTACTTAGTTTACAAAATAGTCTAGATAAGTTTAAAACTGAAAACCGAAATAAAATAGCTCTATTTCCTCTTCGGAAATTGTTTGCAAAGCCACGGTACCTACTAAAGGTATTCTTTGGCTGTCAAATCTCAAAACTGTCAGATTCTATTTTCATCACAAAAATGTGAAAAATGTCAAAATTGCTTTTGTGACTGTGAATCGAAAGTGTTTTTCTTTTTGTTATTTAATTTCTTGATATTAGGTTTTTCTGCATTTTTTACACAATGATTGCGAGGCCGTGGACAGACGACTTACCGAAATGCAAAAATTCTTGTGTCGCATCATATTTTTCGAGATTGGGAGGAGGAAATACAAATACCACTGATGATTACCTGTGTTTTTACTGCCAGACTGAAGATAATTTGTAAGTTAACTTTAGAACCTACATTTAGATACTGTATAACCTTACTTTTCGTGACCTAGTAAACTGAATACTAATCATAGTTTTGTTATATAGAATTTAGATCAAGTTATCTAAGAAACAAAGATAAAAGTGACATAACATCACAATTTATATAAAAGTATAAGTGAATAGTCTTTAACCAGACAGTGAAACATAGTTTTGCTTCCGTAAATATAATATCTTCACTGTAATACCACCTTTAGTTCCCTCTATGGAGTCTTTGAACCACACAATGGGCTGGACGCAGCAAGGTTCATCATGCAGAGGATGGCTGCTGAGATACTGTTCCCGCCACCATCAGCTAACACTGACGAGGAGATTAGAGAAAGACTGAGGTATGAATTTGGTATGGTTAAGTAACTGTAAGCATATTGGATGTCTATTGATGTTGAGTGGCCTCTACTCAGTAGATTTGCCCACCTTTCATTAGATATTTTATAACTTGTGTCACATCTTTCACACAAGGTTCAATGAATTCATCTTAAATCTATCGCAGTTAAGATTACCTTAATTAATAATATTTTAATGCAAATGTATAAAATGTACTTTAAATAGTCTATTAAATGATTTCAGGAACGCATTTATATCAGTAGAGAAAGCGTACATAGAGAACTATGACGGTATGATAGCGGAGAGAACAAGTCTACAGTATCAGCTGCAGACACTTAATGAAACACAGGTTAGTATGTGATTTATTTTTGTGATGTTATTCATATTATGAGGTAACGTAATATGGTAGTTGACAGGTAGTCAAATTCAATACTTTTATTGGAATGTCAAAAACGATACTTTTCTATGAATTTTGTATTGGATCGTAACTTATGACATCGTCATATTTCAACGTCATCCTTAAAATTAGCAAGAAAAAATCCAAAGGTAGGTAACAATTTACCTACCTTTGGATTTTTACCATTAATTTGACAATTCAAATTAATGGATGATTATTTTTTAATTATTTAAATGCATTGAAAAGTTGAAACAATTTATTTTAAACCTAGGAAATGTTAAATGTTAATAGAAATACTCATTATTTTTGTATGCATGTTCATTTACACTTAGGTGTCAGTCTTCCTATATTATGTTCAAAAATATTAATAATTTGATCCCTTTTGAAAGCCTAATCCAAGCATATCGGGCAAAGATACAAGTTCATAATAATGATTAACTTCTCAAATAAATCAGTACTATATGTATCCTACCCGATAGTCAGACCCAAAATCTTTATCTCAGCATTTTCAACCACACTTGCACTTCACGAACAGATAAACCAACAAAACAATTTAAAAATTCTCAGGTATCCCAAAACTACAACATCTTGGCCCGTCTAAAGGAGATAGACGTACACCTGTCAGGCGGTGCAGCGGTAGTGATAGCACTGGTACACGCCAACAAACTGTTCGTGGCACACGTGGGGGACACCAGGGCGTTACTCTGCAGGACTGATGACAACGCAGTGCTGAGGGTCGTGCAACTCACCGTGGATCATAGTTTGAATAATGAAGATGAGTTGTTGCGGTTACAGCAGTTGGGACTTGATGTTAATAAATTGAGGAATTGTGAGTATTTAATTAACTCTTTGAGTATCGTCATTATAGACACAATTAAAGAACAATAGGTTGCGGTCACCGGTGACCGCTTGGTGTTTGATAGTTTAATTGTAATCCGTAATTTTATATCATTCTCAAATAGTTTTCAAAATAGATACTTTAATGTGGTGTGATAATCAAGTAAGCTTGGGCTCTAACCACATTATTAAAATCAGTTTCGATTTCGATTATATTGTGACCTGTGAAAGACTTATTCCAAATTATCTGCTGCAAAAAATAATAACTGAGAATATCTGAAATGAGGAACCAAAATATGGAAGTCTTTATTAAATACAACTAAACTATTAAATTAACGAAAGTAAAAAAAATTGAAAAAAACAAAAATTATTATAATTTTTTTAAATTATTATACCCTTAATTTAGGCGTCAAAGTACTTGTCCAGTTGTCCGCATTACTATCACCAGGGCACGTTCCCAAAAGACTGGCAACATGACTGCCACGTTGAATGGCAATGCTTATTTTCTGTCCGAAGAAATAGCCAGCCCTCTGGTCACGTTTAGAGTCGAATTTTTATTAGATTAGAAAAAGAAACTTGAGATATTTTACAGTAATTCATCCACATCTCTACATTTTATATCTATTTCCTGAATAACCTGGGTGTCTTTAAGGCCTGAGTGAATAGTTTGCTTACGCCACGCTCCCGCTTACCACCAGGTGCCAAACAAAGCGGTCAAACGTTGGCCCATCAAATATAAAAAAATAGGCTATACATCTTATTCTACTCATACCATGATCTTTAACAATTAACAGCTTATAACACCTGACTGCTGGACAAAGGCGTCTTTTCACTCCTCTAATACCTACTTTAAACGTTCCATAGCACAATACCTGGGCAACCAGACCGGTACGCGATGCCTGGGTAACTACCTAGTCAAAGGACTATACAAGGCCTTCCCTACAATCAGTGCTGCCGTCACAGAGCCGGTCATAGCAGCTCCTGAAATACATGGGCCTATTATACTGGACGAGTCTTGCAGGTAAAATTATTTACAAAAGTCAGTCTCTTTTTTGTGCCTTTAGGCTTAATTCATTCTATCTCCTGCAGTAATTCACAGAGGGAAGTGGAAACTATCGTTTTTTCTTGTCCTCTTATAATATCTTCTGATTCACTTCGTTGCGGGAACCAAGAGAGTTATTCTTTTTTTATTTATTTATTTATTTAACAAAAGTACAATTTAGGAATAACATTGTGTTCATAAAATTAAAGATCCTCGCCAAACATATCGTTTAACGGCGATTCATGTCTCTGGGACGCGCCGGACTTCAGTGTTCCGGTGTTTTCATGGTTGTATCTACTGTAGATCCTGGTTTACAGGAGTTGCAGCGGTTTTGGGAGGTTACAGCGGGTTTGTCCCTTTTAAAAAAAATACATACTTAAGTAAGTTGAGTATTATTATTAAGTACCTTAAGAGGTACTTACTAGCATTAGCATATGTAATCCTTACTTTATTTGTGAATGGGTGACTTTTTTTCTAATTCGTTTTCCACGTTGAGAATGGCCGTGTAAATTTTAATAAAATCGAGTATATAAAATACAATGCCCAAAAATGTACAATAAGCATAGTGATAGCTCATTTATAAGTTTGAATGTATTGTGATCTAGAAAATATGATTGATTGACCTCGTTTCAAACCTAACTGGATCTGTTTTTGTTTATATTGATAACTGTAGGGTTCAAGATATTGAACTTAACATATCTATATATATAAAAATCAATGCCACTTTTCGTTGTAATTCCATAACTCAAGAACGGGCTCACCTATCCAAACCAAATGCTTAGGATTTGGTCGGCATATTTAGTAGATGGTTTATGTGAAGTTTGCACAAAATCGGTCGAGCGGTTCCTCATTTGTCACATTTTTTGTAATAAATGAATTCAATAGAAACTTTTTTCACAGAAACTTTTTTGAAGTTTTGTTGACAGGACAAGCACGTTGTTATGTCATTCATGCCGTCAGTTCATTTTGGACGTGGTTTGATTAAAGCATATTATCAGCGATAAATTTCTTTTCACATAATTGCATTTGCAGTGCATTCATACAAACGGTGAGTCCTGAATTTATGTGTACTTTTCTAAGTTGCCGTATATGATTTCACATAGCATCATATGCGACAGCTTCTTGGGAATTTGTTTTTTTTTTTGTTCTAATTTTTTTTTTTCGATTTTTAAGCGAAAACATGTGTGCATACGGGGAAAAATGCCACCAGCCAGACGAGCAAATATAGGTCGGCGAACGCGTAATGCAAATGATGTGGCATTACTAAGACGATATATACTTAATATTTTTTGGATGCACCTGGTGGCACAGGTAAAACGTTCGTTATATCATTGATTTTAGCGACTATTCGATCAGATCAGAAAATTGCACTAGCACTTGCATCTTCGGGAATTGCTGCTACATTATTAGAAGGTGGTCGGACCGCACACTCTGCATTAAAATTGCCATTGAATGTACAGGTGATTGAAACTCCAACTTGCAATATATCGAGAAATTCTGCTATGGCAAAAGTTCTGCGATTAACGTCAATTATTTTATGGAATGAGTGTACAATGGCGAATAAAAAATCACTAGAAGCATTCAATCGAACAATGCAAGATTTACGTGGTAATCAACAGCTTTTTGGTGGTGCTTTGATATTACTTTCAGGGATTTTCGTCAAACATTGCCTGTCATTCCTCGATCAACTCCTGCTGATGAAATAAATGCCTGCTTGAAGTCATCAGTTCTTTGGAGATATCTACAAAAATTGACACTAAACATTAATATGCGTGTTCACCTACAAAATGATCCAGCTGCCCATGAGTTCTCAAAACAATTGTTAGAAATTGGTGACGGCAAAATACAAATCGACAGAACCAACGGATTGATCGCTGTACCGAACAATTTTTGTACAATTGCGCAATCGATAGATGAATTGATTGAATGTGTTTTTCCGAATATTGTTCAGAATTACAGAAATCATGATTGGTTGACAGAACGCGCCATTTTAGCACCGAAAAACATTCATGTCAATGCAATTAATTTTCAAATTCAAGCGAAACTGCCAGGCGTAGTCACGAAATATAAATCAATTGACAGTGTTATGAATCAAGAGGCAATGAATTATCCAATTGAATTTTTAAATTCATTGGAGCCGGCTGGTATGCCACCGCATTGCTTGAATCTGAAAGTTGGTTCTTCGATTATATTATTGCGAAATATTAATCCACCAAAACTGTGTAACGGAACCAGATTGGCAGTGAAAAAGTTATTGCCAAATTTGATTGAAGCTACGATCTTAACTGGTAAATCAAAAGGAGAAGTTGTTTTGATACCGCGTATACCTATGATTCCAACTGATATGCCTTTTGAGTTCAAACGTTTACAATATCCTGTGCGTTTATCATTTGCGATGTCCATCAACAAGGCCCAAGGTCAAACACTTCACGTTTGTGGTGTGAATTTGGAGGAACATTGTTTTTCACATGGCCAGTTATATGTTGCCTGTTCCAGAGTCGGTACCCCCAGCCGTTTGTTTATTTATGCTCAAAATGGAAAAACAAAAAATATTGTTTATCCAAATGTTTTGGATTAAGTGTGTTGTAAATAGCTAGCAATTGATTTCGATTTTAAATAAAATATTTTTTAGATTAAATAAATGAATTTGATGTTCCGATTTGTTTATTTTATTTCACTTTATACGTAGCGAAGCACGTACCGGGCCGCTAGTATAGATATAGTTAATTTAAACTACATTCAATATAATTGCCCTGATAAGAAAATCGTGACGTCACAATATTTTGTCTTCAACTTTTATAAATGGATACGAAAGTAACTGGTGTGTGTGTGTTTGTCATACACCTAAAGTAATGAATAGATTTTAATAATTTTAATGATTTTATAATAACTATCTTGAGACATACGACATTAACTAAAAATCGCGGGTTACTCACGTGAATATACTGAGAATAGCTCTACTAGTATCGAACTACAAAGGGGTGCAGCTTACATTTGCCTACAGCCTACAGTAGGCTGCGCGACATCGCTGCGACCGCGCACGCTGCTCATGACGAAGAACCCCTCTGTCGTTCGAAACTAGTAGAGGAGGGCGCCACTGTGCGCATGATAACATCGAATCCACGCATTAAAATCATTTAAAAATAGTAAAAGTCATTAAATTCTGAGTTAAAGCATTATCAGCTGTAGTAAACAGCAAAACCCAGTGTTCACAGTGAAATACGCACGAAATTAACGAGGACTGCAAAGAAATTTCAAATTTAATGCCACAAGAAATAACGAACAATATTCAAACTGTAAACAAACGCGCCAGCATTACGATTACTAGAATCCGCACGTCTGCTTAAGAAACAAGCAATCTTCGGTGGATTAGCCTATAAAAAGGTACGATCTTAATTACTAAGTGAAGAAAGCTATAGTTTGTGATTTGTTTGTAATATCGTTAAAAATTACTAGTCATCGTCGTTGGAATTGTATATTAGCGCCATCTATCGTCGAGTAGTGGAAACAACTCATTATTGAACCACCGATTACGCTGCTTCCCGCTAGATGTCGGGACCAGTAACATTGGGAAAAGGACTGAACTACAAATCGTAAATAAAATGACACTATACTGCGCAGGCTGTACGCAAGATCTCTCAAATAAACTACTGCTTAACTGCGTTATATGCAATAGTAAATATGATCTAGAATGTGCAAACATCTCCACAGACTATTTCAATGAGACAATGACTCTGGACAATAAAAAACGGTGGAAATGCCCGGGTTGCCGTTGCAAAATGCCAAAAATGGGAAACACAAATACACCTATAAGACCACACATACACACCCAAAGCCAACATCCAACTACGCCCAATGAGGAAAATAATATAACTATCCGAAGGAAAACTAATCCTAGCAATGATTCTACCGCTTTCGAGGACCAGAGTTTGTTGGGCGACACAATGTGCTCAGAAGAAGGAACCACTTCAGTCAATAACACAAATGTGGAGCTATCATTGCAAAACCTGAGCCAAATTATTGTAATGCGTCTAAAGGAGAATAATGAATCTATAGTAGCCGACCTACGAAACACTATACAAATTGAAATAAACAAAGCCGTAAGGAAAATAGCTGAAGATTTTGAACAGAAAACTAAATATTTGTCAAAACAAAATGAACAAAGAAAGCAGGAGATTGAAGAAATTAACGCGAAGGTGGAGAATTTATTGAGAGATAATGAAAAATTGAAACAAGAAATAAAAACATTATTTCAAAATGCAGCATGCCCAGCTATCCAATGCACTGAAAGTAACTCCAAGAAGATAGTCATCTACGGCCTCACCGAATACTACAAAGAGCCTGAAGTTGACCTGCATAACCGAATCATAGAAGTATTCCGTGATATCCAACAAGTGAATTTGATGGGTTACATAGAAAATATATATAGATTAGGAAGAAGCAATAGTACTGTAGTCCGGCCGCTTGTCATCGAGTTAATAAGTAAGAGAATGGCTAAATATATTATAAACCACAGCCATTATTTCCAGGGAACACGATTGTCAATATCTGAATTTTTGGACGAAAACTCTCGTAAAGAAAGACAACAAATGCGAGAGGAAATGATAAAAGCTAGAAAAAATGGCTTGCATGCGGTAATAAGAAATAATCAGCTATATGTAGAGGGAAAAATTATTACTTCAAAGGATGTAACGCAAAACAATAACAAACCAAGCTATCCAACAAGTGACGAAAATAGGAATTCTGGTGTATACCGGGACCTCCACTTCCGAGACTCAACAAGTGGAAATGATAACTTAAAAGTGACTTCACAAAACAATAATTTTCCACAGCACAATAATTCCTTTCGAAAACTCAGACCAACTTTTTAAAATCCTATTTCAGAATATTCAAAGCCTATATAATAAGCAGCATATACTTGAAACTTTTGTTGAAGATAACCCCATATATAATGCAATATGTATCTCAGAGTCTTGGTT